CATCTATGTCAACTCCACTGAGGAGCAGCACTTTGCTGATGGATGGACTGGCAAAACCCTGTACCCTCTCACACAGGCAGGTGCAGAGCACTATGGTCTTCACTACATCGGCGACCTCACCAACAAGCTTCGCAGATGCAAGACCTTGCGTGGCCGAGGCCACATCTGGCAAGCAGTTGGCATGAGCGCTCCTCGCAAGAAACATGTCAAGGAGAGCGCCGACCTCAATGAGCGCCGGATGTCACTGGAGGACCGCCTGACCTTCCTGGAGGGCAAGAAAGCAGAGCTCTCAAGCATCTTCGAAAATGGAGTTTGGGAGATTGAGACCGACCCCGCTTCTGTCGACCACAACAGAGTGATGAAAGCTCGCTTTGTTTTGAAGTGGGCAGCGGATGGTAAGGGCGGCCTCAAGGCCAAGGCCCGTTTGGTCTTGCAAGGGTTCTCTGACCCCGACTTGCTGAATGGCGCTCTGGACACTTCATCGCCGACTTTGGCAAGGACCTCCCGACAAGTGTTGCTGGCTATCAGCCAAGTCTCTGGCTGGAAACGCTGGACGGCCGACGTCAGTACGGCATTCCTCCAAGGTGATCCTCAAGAACGAGTTCTCTGGGCTCGCATTCCTCGAGACGCATGCAACATCATCGGTGTTCCTGCCGGAACATTGATGAGGCTGATCAAGCCCATCTACGGTCAAGCCGACGCCCCAAGGCAATGGTTCATTGTGGCCAGAAGGCGACTTGAAAGCCTTGGATATCGAGCTCACCCACTGGATCAGTGCCTCTTCACCTACCACGACTCCGACAAGAACCTGATCTCCATGGTGGGACTTCACGTCGACGACCTTTTGGGCTGTGGCAAGACCGACTCCTCCGAATACGAGCACCTCAAGTCCAAGCTGAAGGAAGCCTTCAACTTCAAGCACTGGACGGAAGAGGGAGACACACCTTTTGAGTTCTGCGGCTGCCACCTGAGCCGAGACAACACTGAGTCCAGGCTACACCAGAGCGACTACTTCAAGAAGGTCAAGCCCATGACATGCAATGATTATGATGCCAACCGTTCCCTCAACAACAAGGAACAAAGTTGCCTCAGAGCCCTTCTCGGAGCACTTCAATGGCCTGCCACTCAGACCTCACCTCATTTGAGTGCCTCGGTATCTTTGTTGTGCGGCGAAGTCACGGCCGCCACAGGTGACACTGCAGCTCAAGCCAACAAGCTCCTCCGCTTTGCGAAGAACAACAGCGATGCTGCCCTGATCTTTCGAGATCTTGGAGGGGACATGGAGAAGCTGTGCATGGTGGCCATGAGCGATGCAGCTTGGGGAGTTCGTCGCAACAGCGAATCCCAAGGTGGCTATGTGATCTTCCTCTGCAACCAGCAGATCCTGGAAGACGGCTCCACGCAGGACTACATCGTCCTGGACTGGAGAAGCTTCAAGTTGCCAAGAGTGAGTCGTTCATCACTCAATGCTGAGAGCCAGGCCTGCTCGGCCGCCATGGACGCCCTGGAGTACCTGTTGATCTTCTGGGAGGGCTGCACCCGACACGACTTTCAACTTCGACAGGTGGACGAGTTTTCACCGACTATGCCCTCGTCACTGGTGGTCGACGCCAAGGCGCTCTACGACTCGCTCAAGGCCGAGACTCCCAGCCTACAAGGCGACAAAAGAACAAAGATTGAAGTCATGGTGACCAAGCAGAAGATGCTGGCTATGAAGTCCCGGCTGAGATGGGTCTCATCCGAGGCTCAAATGGCCGATGGAGTCACCAAGTATGCCGCGAGACAGCTCTTTGCCGATCGTCTTCGTTCTCATCACCTTTCACTACAAGCTGATGTCTCCTTTCAGGCATCCAAGAAGAAGACCCTGGCAGAGCGACAGGCAAGCGCAAGACGCCATGCCATCACTCGGACTGGCAACCCCAACCACTTGGCCTTTGCAGTCCTCACCTCGCAGATGATTGGAGTCAAGGCCATGACGGTGGATGAGGTCATAGCAAACATGCTGTCGCCCGAGATGACAGTGACCCTGTATGTCATTGTGATTGGCATGCTGGTGTGGCGCTTCCTTTGTGGCAACGAGAGAACTTCATCATGGAGCTCCACGGTTACAAGAACGACCTGGACTATGACTTCAACGAGCTCTACAGCGGCCGAGACACAGACCGAGAAGGAGCCTGAGACCTCCTTTGGTGTCCTCCGCACCGAGAACCTGCGGCTGCAAGACATCGTGAGAGACCAAGAAGCTGAACTATTTGACCTACAAGCTCAATGCAGAGCACAAGAAGAAGAGATTGAGCAGCTCATCGACATCCGAGAGTACATGAGGATTGAGATGCGCGAGATCGACACCGAGTACAAGAAGGCCCGCGACAACTGGATCGATGCGCACAACCGCTTAGCTGCGGTACGTGACCAGCTCTCCAGAAACTGGATCCCTGACGCGGTCATCACGACCCGAACTGGCAAGTCCTACCACACACACCCTGACTGCCAAGCGCTGGCAGCAGCAGATTCGACTCAGTTGAAGCAGTGGAACTGCTGCGCTTTCTGTAGCCAGAAGTCTCTTGAGTTCTGGCGAAGCTACTGAAGTGGAGAACCACCACCGGTGTGGATTTCACTCCATGCAATCAGGTTGGAACAGCTTTTGACCATTCCGGTTGCTGTTTGGCTACCCTGCGCCCATGCAGGGGCCCCTTGAACCTCGTTCATGCTACGCCATAGGCAAAAGACACGCCTCACTGTTTTTCACGCTTTCCATCTCGACACTTCGTGCGGTCGCGATACAACACGAGTTTCCACATCCGTGTTTTCATACTTATTGATATCTTGAATTCAATTAGGTATCCTTTTTTGGTGGAAGCTTTTGGCCCAACCAAACCCGTTCGGGCTTCTCCGGTCTTTTGATGCATCGACCCACCCTGACGCCCGACTTTGTCGGGCCCCCTGACTTGGGCGAGATGGTCCAAGCGCCGCTCACGTGGTCCCAGTACAAATACCTGGTAAAGCCGTTGCTTTTGAAGCCGCTCTAAAGCCGCTGAAGCCGCTGAACGCTAAGCCGTCCCATGGATGGGGGAACCCTGGGGGAGCTGCTTGGAGGAACGATTGCCAGGCGTATGAAACAAGAACTCGAAAACCCTGTGAATCTCTTTGGATGTTTTCTCGAGATGGTCCGGCCGAGTGTCCAAAAAGACCACGATGAAACCGCAAATAGTTGGCCACCCCATAAAACCTTGTGCCGCTTGTGCCTTCTAACCCGCAAGAGATATCGAAATGACTTGCAGAGGCCATCGGGAATCGGCTGAACACGTCGCACCATGTTGCTGAGGGTCAAAACCGGGGGAACCTGGAACAGAACAGACCACAGGATTAGGTCAACCTACCAGGGATGATGTCCGGGTTTTGGCCCACAGCCATGTCACTTCCTTCCAACGCATGTGCCCCAATTGCCCCAATCTCATCTCTGAGATGTCTTCATCCGCTGCTCGCCGAATTCGCACCTCACTACTGGAGCAGTGTAGAAGCCAGTCTGTTTCACCTGAGTATCGGACTGGTCGAATTGATGAAGCGTTTTGTGTGACACGTCGAATCGAGAGGAGTGCATGGAGTGACACATGAGATCTCCATGTCCATTCTTGGGTCCCCAAACCATTTTGAAGGCCTTCACACCAAAGGTATGCATCCTCGGCAACGCGTGCGCACTCAGCGTGCGCCATAAGGAGCAAAGAACGCATCAGTTCTGGGATTCATCAACCAAATGGAACTTGTAATTGATTCTCAAAGTCCCTGGGCACAAAAATGCCTCCCAAGTGACACGCGCAGGGTTTCGCCAAGCAGCTGAAACGTAATAGATAAACACCTTAAGGGGTCTCATAAGCGTTCACGGATTAAGACACGGACAGCTTGAAATAAACACCGTTGATCACCTGATGCTCAAGGTGCGAGTGCGTTGCTACGAAGACACTGCTGCGCAGTGGCAAACCATTTTGTTTAGCCCCATAGCAACATTTGCTTGTGATCTGCATCCAGTAACTAGTAAGACATTGTTCATCATTGCTCCAAAGACTGATCTGTGTCCCATGTTGGGACGGAATTGGTCAAAAAGGATTGGGGCAACTGAAACTCCTTTCAAATTCCCTAGACAACTTTTTGAAGAAACACCTTGCAGAAGCTTTTGTTCTTGCACTTTCATCTGGCCCACCTCGTTCTCGCCAGTGCCACCCTTGATCAGAACCTGAAATGAAGATCCGTGCTGAAAAATGGCCTTCCATTCATGACAATAGGTCATCACCCGCAACTTGCAAGGAAAACAACTTCTTGGTGCTGTTTTGGTAGATCCCTCACGGACCCTTGGACTGTACCTCTCGACTGACATCTTCAGGTGCCGACATCCTCTTCAGGCAGTGAGAGATCGGTGGGTTCGCGCACCAACGCGGCTGCCTGGCCCACTTTCGTGCAGTTAAACCGATCTCTTCGCCGCCTTTCATCCGTTTTTGGTAGATCTATGACTCAGCTCTGAACGAGGTTTCTGAAAATCAGAAGAACACATGAACAAACAAAGAAATCAAAGAACATCAAAGGACTCGTCATGACTCGTCATTCTAGCTGCGAAGGAATCTTCTTGAGTTCTTGAATTCTTTAGATGAATCTGTATTCTTCATGTTCATATCCAGGGCTTCATGTTCATATCACCGTCCCAAAGCTGCTTTTTCTCTGTCCCACCTGTGGCTCAGCTCCAGCAGCGGTCTCAGCCGGGGGCAAATTCGGCTCTTTTTCAAATCGCTCCGTGCTTCACACGGAGAAAGGATTCGGGTCAAACACCTATGGAGAGCTCCCAATGAAATACACATTTCCCAAATAGCCAAAGCTCCTAGATGATTGCTGCCCCTCTTTTTTGCTACTCAGCGCTCCACTGCCGTGATCCCCCCGGAAATCATCCGCTCCATCCGACACGAACAGCGCTCACGGCGCACCGCTCCGCAGGGCTCCGCTCGGTCCCGGGCAGTGGCCATGGAACGCATCGTCATGACGCTGGTCATCGTGCTGTTCATGCGGCCCACGGCCTGCGCAGGGCACATCATCACGACTGGAAGAGATCTTGCAGACCTGGGTCTTACCCCGGGTCAAGCAATGGGCAAGGCCCATGGTTTGACATGGGGGACATGTAGAACCCCATTGACCCCAGAAGGTAGAAATCGGTTGAAGAACCCATGGATGAACGTTCCGCTTCCGCATTCCACGGCGCCACGAGTTCGCCGCGGAAGTCCCGACTGCGCAGTGGCCAGGGTGTGGCATCGGCATCCAAATGCTGATCTTGGTGGACAGGGGAACCCGACTTCTTTCCGCTGTAAGGAGTCTCCCTTTGGATTAAATCACAAAGACGTGAGTCTCACTTCGCATGGTTTCTTTCTCCATGAATTAATACATCCCCCTCGGCGACAGTGCGGCAGGTGCCTGTGTGGTTGGACCCAAGGGGAAGGCCTTGGATGGCGTCATCAAGTGCTGGGTCAAAGACTCTGGGTCAAAGTGCTTCTGTTCAGTTTGAAGGTTGAAACTGAGCGAGTTTAAGCCACGAAAAAGAAAAGGGCACATCGACCAAATGGATTTGTTGAGTCTTTCATGTTGAGCCGCGGTGGAGTTCCAGCATTCTAGCATTCCTTTTGGTTGCAGGAGATTCTGGACCTAAATATCTACAGTAGAATCAGTAGAAGATGCCAAGGTAGACAAAAGGAATCAAAAGGATTCACAAGGATGTGTGACATACGCGATCGATGCATTTGGAAGCCGGCATCGATGGCCACCCAGAAACCAGGTATATAAATAAACTAAGCCCTAAGCCCTTTGTCTTCCATGAAACTCTCTCAAAAGCGGACTCCAGAGCAATCGGCCAGAGCTTTGCAGGCAGCAATCATTGGTGGGTGGCATATGGTGAAAACAACCAACGACCGGAGGAGATGGTCCTTGGAGTCCGTCGACCGTGCAGGCTGAGGGAACCCTCACGGGTTCCAGCCTTCGGTGTTCCGGTCTGAGCTTCGGACGGTGTCGCGGAGGAATCGAAGCTCGTTCTTCTTGTCCAAGGCTTCCCAACCTGCGATGAATCGGCTGAATGCCATGGACATTCAGGACGTTGAATGGACAAAAAACGTTGGGCAGTTTCAGAAGAATGGACGTTGGGAAGGAGGCGCGGTCTCGCTCTGAACATGACAAAGAGGCTTAGAACGTGCTTCAGTTACAATCCTAGGCCGGATAGCACGCACATGATTCTGGTGAGATTCAGGTCGGACGCCATTGCTTTGTATCAACCAGCTCTGCCAGGGAGTCTCTTCCCATTAATCCATTTGGGTGCTCCAGTCAAGGAAGAAAAGAACGTCCCAACTCCTCAAATGACTTTGCACAAACTGGTGTGACAGTTCATGTGAGACTTCATCTCCGATCCAAAAATTTAGGACATCGAACGATCGACATGGCTCGAACGCACTTTCGAACTTGGCATCACGGCCCTGGGCGAATAAGTGCCCGATGTCTCTTGTGCGAGCAAAGTCCTCCCTCTTGACGCGCCACATCTAAGGCTTGGTGGTTGTCCCGACTCCTGTGTCGTCACCTATGCGGTTTTTGTATAAAGGTTCAAACTTGATCATCTGAGTATTTTTGTATACCTATACACATCTTTTTGTGCAAGGGTGTGGCAAGGATGTGTCTCAGCTTGGAATCATGTGCATGTCCAGTTCATTCCCAAAATTTCCACTGCGAACAAACTACAGTATACAGATTCTCAGCCTAATGCTTGTTAACCGTCTGTATGCCAGGACGAGGAGAAAACACTCCCTCACAAGGTCATCTCGAAACATATTCAATTACCTCTCTTGAACCCGAAAATTATCTTGGCAAAGAGTTGGGTCAATGAGAACTTCCTACATTGAGAAACTCCAAACTACTAGTGATGGCCTCCAACTATACACATTATGGGGTGATCATTTGTTTACATTATCTATATATATCTTCAGACTGTTCCCGACCGATGTTGGTTGAGATTCTTGAAGCCTCCATGGAGCCTCCATGCCTAAAGCCTTCGCAAGGACCATGTCAAACGACGATCTTTCCACTCTCCCTCTGAAATAAAATAGGCTCTCTCCCGCCACTCAGGTCTCCTCCAGGTTTGTGTGAGTGACTCGTTTCACTTGGCAGGAAGGTCTTCCGAAGGAGAACTCTTCCAGCCGCTCTTTCGCGGCGCTGGCACCGGTGTCTTTCGCGGAGTCGCAAGCGATCAAACACACTCCCCTCACTGGGCTTCGACACCTGAAGCAACAAAGAGCACCAGGGTTTCACACTCAGCAAGGGCATCGCTACTAGGAGCAAGGACACTACTAGTAGCTCCTGGCCATACTACTAGTAACAAGAAGCTACTAGCAGCTGGCTTAAAACGAAGAGCAACCCAGTGTGTGATCCGACAATCCTCCAGAATCGACTGGATGTTTTGTCTTCGGTCTAGACCAGAAGAGAGATCCACCGTAAGAGATCTTGCCTTCGGTAGACTGATTCTATACTATTCTATACCATAGTAAGAACTTCTCCACTTGAGTCCTTGATCTTGAAACTTCATCTTGACAGGGTTTCCGCCCTCGGTTTCTGGACCTTCCCTGCGCTGGTGTCATGACTGTCATGAGGGCACAAGAACCATGGACGGACCATCCGACCTTCGTGTTTGCACTGGCTTTCGACCCTCGTGACACTCCTCCAGTCGCTGGATGGAGACTGAGCCAAGCCACTCTTTGATCGGATTAAAAGGCGCCCGTGCCATCTGGCGTTCATGCCAACCTGAGCACTCAGAGGCCCAAATACAGGACGTGCACGTCGGTGTATTTCTGCGATGGGCAAGATGTCTGGGATGTCTGGGCAGCAATGTCGCCACATGTCGCCACATGTCTGGGCCGCAAGTCAAACAACCCGCAGTGAAGACACCCATTTTGCAACCCCTTTCTTTCGTGTCATATTCCCCCCGGTCTTCCGCGGCCGGTCGGTCGCTGGGTCACTGACTTTGGACTCCAAGCGGTAACCCTTCGCCGGGTCCTGGGCCGCACCGCTGTGCCCCTGGGGGCGTGGCAAACGAGACTTATTATTAGCTTATTGTTTCTACTACTAGTAAGGCACTTGTTACTACTAGCGTGGCACTTGTTACTAATAATATAAATTTCCAACCCAATAGTGATGGCTTCCAGCCTCGAGCGATGGCCTCCACCCTGAGAGCGATGGCCTCCAACCTACTAGCGATCGCCTCCACCCTGAGAGCGATGGCCTCCATTATAAAGCATATGAAGCCTTTGGGTGCCCACTGCCAAACGGCGCTCAACAAACGGAATGCTCGCCAGTCACGCTCAACAAACGCCTTTGGAGACCATGTCCAGCAACTAGTGTTAGAGTCTTGACATGTCTTGAAAGACCGGAACCCGGAAAAAGACTCTTGGTCCCGCCATCTTCGAAAGACAGCGATCCGAAGCAATCGGATGGCCATGCGACGCCCATCCCGGCCATGCGACCCTTCTTTCGGTCGGTCCTTGGCAAAGTCCCAAAGCATCTCAAGGCTCCCAGGCCGTTCGCCTTTCGCCGTCTGGAAGGCCTCGACTCAGTGTAGTCGAGTGTAGCGCGGTGGTTGCGCGGGTGGTAGCGCCGTGCGGACGCGAAGGAAGGGTCTAACGAGACCACGCGGCGAAGGTTCGGACATGTCCTCCTGGTAGCTTTGTTTGGGATGTCAGGGTGCTACCCCAAAAAATGGAGATGAGTGTGAAATGGAGATCACTCCTGTTTTGGTTTGCTTGGGTAGACGAGTGAGGACGAGGACGGGCAAGATGCTGGATCGCTGGGGTGGCAAATGTGCATTGGATATGCCTAGATCGTCTATATCCAATGCACATTTGTCCATACCAACAATTATACGGAGCGTTCTTCCGTGAATCTCTTGTGGCACTGCACAAAGGGAGAGCAACTTCAGTGCTGCAGAACCAAGCTATAAGATGCTATAAGAGCATCCACAAATTCATGGGTTCCAATGTATACAGTATTTGTCTTCTAGACTAAACACAGTGGTTCCTGGAGGTCATCTCTCGGCATCGATTCCTGAGACGACACTGATGCGTTCTCTTGTCGAACCGGGTGCTTGGTCCACATGCGACGAGCTTGGCGCCAAACTGGGCTCCAGCTTGAGTGTCGGAACTTCTGCTTCCACCTAAACGAGGTCCCGGCCTTGTTGTCCTTGGCCACCAAGAGATGTGTTCCCCACGGGTAAGGCTTTATGACCTCACAGCTCAAGGGAAGAATCCTGAACAAAAGGAGGAGTCTGACGGACGAGTGTCGAAGATCCGAAAACCGAACATGGTTTTTTTCGTACCCTTTGAGCAATGCGAAACATGGGCAAACCCAGTGGCTTTACGCAACTCCCCTTAGGAACAAAACGCGACGTGAAGTCCTTAGCTAGCTGAAAGGGCTTTCACTATCAATCCACCTACCAACCATGCTTGTGAAGAATTCTTAAGACTTAACCATACAAGAAAAAAAGGCACCATCCCCATACAAGGCAACACTAACTCTGGTGAAGTGAAGTACAACCGAACGACCGTGCCCACTCACAGCGCCTTCTCTTTGACACTGTCGTTCACCTCGGCTAATTCCCAACCTGCAGGTCTTCACTTCGGCCGACTGCGGGTCTTCGCTTTGGGTCCGGGTCGACTGAGACTTATCGGGTCGAGATTGAAAGCACCAAAAAAAAGGCTTCAAGGAGTCTGCAGTCCACTTCTTCAGTTGTCTATGGTTGAAAGGGCCTTGGGCCCCCCAACACTTCCACGAGACCGAAGAACGTCACATTTCACACGAAGCATCCCAACCGTCGACCGTACGGCGCTTCGTCGCCGCCTGGTGGCACCTTGTTGTAAGTCAAACCTTTGGAGCCTTCGTTGGGCCTTGGGAGCGAGGGTGAGAGGTATTGGAGATAGACTCAAAACGTGTCGGGGTTGGGAGAGGTTCACTTCTCATCTTGGTTTTGGGTGGTACGAATTTGGCTGTGCATCAGACACCTGTAGCCTCCCAAATCCTATTAATAAACAGTTGCAAAAGACCCATGGAAGCCCCGAGTTTTGACCACACCCATGTTTTAACAGCTTGCAATAGATCCTTAATCACAACTCTTTGTGCGACCTGGTGATCTTAGAGTGTTGCCCTTACCGCCTGAAGTGGAACACGACGGCGGCCTGAGAAGATCACTTGCTGATCACAAATGGGCTCCTTCAGGGTGCTATTTTAGCAGAGGAACCTGTTGGGTCTTAAAATGGGAACCGTTTTCTATGCTTTCCTTGCCTTGACTCTCCATATTCTTCCTATTCTCTACTTTCAAACCGTCCATCAAGTCTAAACAGGAGGCTTGCTTGCGACATCGGGAACCTGCTCCCTCTGGTGCCTTCTTTCAATCCCCCAAACCCAACCTGCCAAATACATTTTGACCACATCTTGAAACATGTCATGCCTTCCCCGCAAGAATCATGGAAGTGGACAACGAGGTCTTTCGAAGGGTTCATGCCATCCACGTCCATGATTGGAAGTAGTTCTTCGCCTTTGACTTTCATGACGAGACCTGCTTGTTCCGTTGTTCCCGTAAGCTGCCCCCACTGGGTCAATTGCCACTCAGTCGATGTTTCACTGATCGCAATCAACAACTTGTTATACATGTTATACAAAGCAGTAAGTAGGCAGAATTCCGTAGTTTTGCTTGGGCGGTTGGAAGACCTGGTTGACCCGGATTGTGGGCCTATGTCCAACCCCATGCGAACATTCATTCAAGCAGCTGGTAGTAGCGAGGTGTCACATTTAAGCCTTAGAACGACTTGGCGACACACGAAGAAACCACGCGACCTCTGCCTCCCTGGGATGCTACGGTCAGCGACCATAACTGAACTCGTCAGCAAAAGCTTTTTTTCATACGACGTCAGATAGGTTTCTCGAGGCAGAAAAATCAGATCACTCTGCAAAGCTCGGATGCCACAAGCGATGCGAATCCGATCTCATGTTGCCTCTCGAAGCGACTCCGACTCCGGTGGATCACGTTTTGGGGCCAGGGACCCAGGTCAGGAACAGACTGCGGCGGGGTGAAATCGATGCAGGCGTACAAATGCCTTAGTGAGACTGAACACACCGATGAAATGCAAATGTTCTGCCGTTGGAACACTCATCGTTTTGAACAATCAAGCAAACACCCGACAAAAAGGACGCTACTATACTACTATAGGAGCAAGACGCTACTAGTAACAAGGGCATCGCTACTAACCCCAGAACGGCCATTGAAGAAAGGTGGTTTGGACCAAGATGCCCATCGCATTCGATCGCATTCTGCCGCTGCTCCAAGGTGACCTTTCGAGCTAGTTCTGGTTAAACATGAACGACACAAAGGAGAATGGGCAAAGCAAAGCTTCTTGCAAGTTCTTTTTGAAATGTTATAGCTTCAGTTTCAAAAAGATAAGTTTCAGGAAAATCACCTCTGGAGACCCTATGAGACCCTGTGGGCCATATCTCGCAGAGACTTTCTAAGGGTCTCGCTCCTTCCTCAGGCTCCTCCTCCTGGAGATGAATCGGGAAAAACAAGAAAGACTAGCGGGGAAATATGGGGAAATAGTTGCACAATTCAAAGGTATTTGACTGTCTTATTCTTGGCGTTCTTCTTTTATTCTATATAATAACGGGTTGGCTTTGAACCCCTTTTAGAAAGAACGATGCTGAGGTCTTCGTTTCTTCAGGTCTTGGTTCAACTGCACAAAGCTATCCCACAATTCCCCAAGTTTGACCAACAGGTGGTCTCCAAGTGGTTAAGCGTCCGACAAAAAGCTAGCCAAAAGCAAGCCTTGGGCTTTGACAAGAACATAAATTTTACTCGAAGAATCCGTGAAAAGCAAACGCGAAAGAAGCATTCCGGTGATCTCAAAGAAGAAAACTCCTCCGTTCTTCTCCGTTCGACACCAGGCGTGTCCGTTCGTCCCCTGGAGCCAGGTGCTATGCTTCCCAAAGCAATGTCCAAAGCATGGCTCGGACGTCTCCTTCTTGGCTGGAGGAGGTATTCTAGTCATCACCTCTCTTCGCCGTCGATCATCCTGACAGCTCTGGCGCGTGCGGAAAAGCACAGCGCATGCAGCGCAAAGGCTGGAAGAAATCTGGGCCATGTGTTGGTCAATACCCTTGACTTCATAAACAGACTTGCAAGCAACAAGAGGATTCTCACGTTGAGGTTCCTTCGTTCTTGATTCTGTCTAGGGATTTGACTAAAATCTTGTTGATCAACAACCCCCCGTCAGTTAAGCCACAGCTGCCAGGTCGCTATCTCAGTGTCTAAAGGTCACTGTGTCCATGTGCCAAGGGCAACTGGGAGATCTTCAAGCTATGCAGGAGTGGAGCTGTGGTTCTTCATATATCTTAAAAAGGCCTTCCCAGGTGACGTTTTCTTGATCAGAATTGATGAGATGCCTTTCATCCCCCAAGAACTTCTGCAGAATTCTCCAGTACCCAAGCAGTCTGCCGGTGAAAGCTTCTGAGCGATGTTAAACTTGGAGATGATCAGCATCTTTTTCTCTCCCACTAACTAACCGCATCTGTGGCCAAATGGCAAACACGCTGCAGAAAAACGGGATACACAAAAGCACCAAATACCAGGAATGACTTCCCTAGTTTGCCAGGAAATCGGACAGAGAGTCATGGTATCGAACAGTTTTTTCCTGACTTCGCATTCCCCAGAAGACCTGCAGCATACCCCCGGTCTGCGCGTGGACCATCGCCAGGTCCTCCCGGGACCGCCGCCGTGGGCTGCGGGAGTTGTAGCGCCGGCTGCGACTTCGCCCTTGGAAAACGAGTTGGAGCTTTTGGGTCTCTTTTCTTGTTTCTAATAGCTTCTTGTTGTTACTACTAGTAAGGCACTTGTTACTAGTAGCGATGCACTTGTTACTAGTAGCTTCTTGTTTCTGGTAGCTTCTTGCTCTCCTAGTAGCGATGCCCTTTGCTCCTAGTAGCGTCCTCTATACGTTTCTTTCTGTTCGAGCTTTCTTTCAACCAAATGGTCCTGTCTGAGTCTAAACCAACAGACACACGCTTTGCGAAACCAGGGGGCCCATCTGCCGGGCCCTCTGCTCGGGGTGATGGCATGAATCAATGCAAACTGAGGTGAGCGATGATCTAGACTACCTAGATAGCGCAAACTGGTCCAACACGTCGACTGGGTAATTTCGGGCTCGACTGAAATCGGGCGAATTCGCTCCGACATGTCTCTTTCGTTGGGTCCGACAACTGCCATGAAATTGATGTCTCCCATCGTGATGTTCCAAACACACTTTTGATGTCGAGAGTGATGGTTCCGAGAAAAACACCTCAACGTTGGGGTCAGGTGCGACAAACGTTGGGGTTCCAACCACCTCAAAGCGAAGTGGTTTTCCACATGTGAACCCCCTCGCATGCGTCCACCATGTGTGTGTATCCGTGGCCGCGAGAAAAAGAACAGGTCATTACTCTGGGAAAGCATCTTCACTCAAAGGCCCCCGACGCTCTCGACTTCGGCTGTTCCGGCGACCTGGGCGCCGTGGGGCCAAGCGGATGACGGCATCGGATCACTTGCGTGCGGGCTTCCAGGAGGGACAAAAGAAGCATCCTTATGTTTACTTCATGGTGGAGGATAGACAGCTGCTTTTTCTCCCACTAAGTGGCGGACCAATGCTTGAGCTCTGCTAAAAGGGAAGGCACAAAGGGGTTCAGTTCAGCACCCCTGTTGAGCACAGCCCTGTAGCATTAGTTTCAAGTGGCAAGACATCTTTACACCATCAAACCTATCTGGTTTGTCTCTTCCCACACATCATCTGGCTAAGGGTCATGGCACGACTGACCTCCTGTTGTTCACACTAGGCTTCTTACTGATGTCAGTACCCCTAAACACAGGCCTTTCATATGACCCAAATCACTAGGTTTCGGCACACATACTTCAGGCCAGTGCAAACACACACGCAACTTTAAGGCACACAATAGACGTTGCACATGGGATCATTGACCCCTTGCCTCTGTTGGCTCCGCTTGAGCTTCCGGCTGGGCATTGCTTTCGTCCGGAACCCGGTGCGGCCGGCCGCGGGCGGGGTGCTCCGGGGCTTCTCGAGCCGCGTGCCCGCGAGGGCCCCTTCTGCTCCGCGATGCGGAATGGTGTGGAATCGAATGGCAAAGACGTGGCTCCTTGAGCTTACAGGAGTTGTGTTATACAATAAACCATCTATTTGTCTGTGTATACAATATCATATACGTATATGATAGACTGTATCTGAATGAATGTTCTCTGTTTTGGATTCTTGGGCCTACAACTATCCTTGTGAAGTCACGAGAAAGCATCTTTCAAAAGGAGATAGTCACACTCGGGGGAACCGAGACGATGCGGCTTGGATGGGCTGCTTGGAGCTCCTCCAGATAACACGCAAGAAACGCAAGAAAGTGCCCATGTTCGGATAATGTAGACTCGTGATTGATAACCCCCTTTCATCCCCTTTCTATTAGGCTTTAATAGAAACCTCTTCATATGGGAGGGTATATTCATCAAGAGTCTACATTCCACGGAGCTTTCGCCCGGAGAAAGCCGAAGAAGAAACCGCCGATGTCCCGAAGCGCCTTCAGACTGCTCCTTCTTCAACTTCTGCCCGAAGGATTTAACCAACGCCCAAACGGGGTTGTTCTTCTCGGGCAACGCTTTCTCAGCCTGGCATGACGAAGGCATGACTTTTTGACGGAGTGCGTGGCAGTGCTAGTACTGACCTTTGTGAAGAAACAAACAACAACAGCACTCTGTTCTTTCATCAAACTACCGTGAAGGTTGCTTTGGAAGGAAATCGTTTCTTGCGGAAGTCTCCTTTGTCTGTCAAAGCGGTCTGCGGTTATACATATCTTTGATATGTGTGTATGGAGTCGTGAGTACTTCAAAGCATGTTTCTCACTCCTCCTTCATGCTTTGAGCCTCTTTGCTCGATGCATGACTTCATGAAAAGGCCGTCTCATCAGGATGAGGATCCATAAAGGAAAAGCATTCCTCCATCACCCTGTACATCTTTCCGGCCAAATCCTGGTCATTTGCCCTCATGGCGTGGTACCATGTGGCTTCTACTTTGGCCAACTCTTGTCTGGCCTTTAGATCTGCCCTGTTATAGGGCCTGTTGAAAAAGTTGAACTTCTGTTCAGGGATCTCAATTGGCTCAGGTTGCCAAGCATCTGGGGGTCCTGCTGGAGCTTCAGGAGTTGTCGTGCTCTCCATGTCCTCGTCCTCATCACCTGGACTTGGTTCTGGTTCAGGTGGTGAACCTCCTGCTTGTGCCACTTCTTGAGCAATCTCCACGTACTCAACTGGCACTTCGACCACATTCCCATCATCGAGTCGAATCGTGGCTGTGTCACCACTCAGCATTCGACCATCATCACCTTGTTCATCTGGTCCATCTTCTCCACCATCTCTTGGCGGTCCAGGATCATCTGGCGAAAACCTGTTGGGAATCCTTGACTCTCCTTGCTCTTGTCGACGCTGGTTGACCACATCCCATTGAACCTTCAGATGCAGTCCTTCATGTCGTCGATTGACTTTCTCGATGTAGTGGAGAGTTTCCCATTCCAATCCATCACGGATCGAGTGATCCTCCACAAAGCCTCCTCTATAGATCAAGGCTCTATGGATCCTTTGGGTGTAGTCCATCTGCATTGACCACACTTTCTCTTGTTCATCCAAGGAGCTGCGGGTGCTGTACTTGTGAACCTCTAACTCGCTCTCCAAGATCACGATCCTCTGTTCCAGCTCCTTGAACTTCCTCCTCAACCACCAAACCAGGAAGATCGCCGCCAAGATCATGATCAGGTAGATGAACTTTTCGATGTAGCCATAGCCCTCTCTCTCTGACAGGTCTGGTTCCACCCTTGCGCCAGTAGCCAGCTCAAGACCGCTAACGAAGACCAGCCTGTTCAAATACTTTGCGATTTTCATCACCTTGCCCTTTTCAATGTGTTGCTCGCTGAACTGCTCAAACTCCCGTTGGCCTACTCGACCTCCATCTTCATCTCGGGCCTGCAACCAATAAAGTAGGAGTCTCAGCCTCTGTTGGGAAAGCGGTTTCGTCCCGATGTCAGCCAGGTTGCGAGCTGTCCCAACTTGTCGCACCTCAAGGTCTCCAGATGCAACTTTGCTCTGGCGCCACAACAATTTGCCACTGACGTGGCGCAACTTGCCTGCTCCTCGCTTGCATGCAATCTGCCTTGTAGCTGAATTGTCCACCCAACAAATATGATGCACATCATCTCCTGTCAAGAACTCCAGACTATGCTTCAGACATATGCCATCGCATGCTCCAGAGACCAACGCATGGAGCTCGCTCTCTGCAGATGACAAACTGACTACCTTCTGTCCCCTTGACGAACAGTGCACCACAATGCCATTGATGGTGTGGACTGCTGATGAAGTGCTCCGTCGGGTCACCTTATTGCCACTCCAGTCTGCGTCGGTATATGTCTCCAGAAGCCAGGTGTGGTTGCTATGCATATTCATCCCCTCTCCCCGTTGTGGTAGAGGCAGCATCATCGATTGGTTCTCAGTGTCCTTCAAGTAGCCCAGAAACTTCCTCATCTTCTGGATAGATATTTCTGTGGGGCTTGACATCTTTGAGGCCAACTCTTTGATGCAGAACGCAATGTCACACCTCTCCTGGGCCAAGTAAATACCCATGCCAACAACAGATCTGTATACAGCTGCATCTTGCTGTGGGATCGTGCTGGAGCCATCATAGTCCTGAATATCTGCTGTCGCCGGCAATCGCTGACGCTTGACTGGTCCAAAATGGTCCTCGAAGGTCTTTACCATATTGGTGGCATAGCTCCCCGGCTTCACTGACAAACCTTCAGGTGTGTAGACATATTTCCTTTTCAGGAAGGAGAACTCATCGCCATAGTTCTTCATCACATTGACTTCAATGTCAAATCTCTTCTCCATGCTCTGGATGAAATTGTTTACAGGCTCCTCCTTCCCCGTGAACATAATGTCGTCCACATGGATCAGTACACACACCAAATCCTCTCCAACTCCTCGCTTTCCAAGGCACGGGTTGATGATGTCAAAGCTGAAGCCCTGTTCCTCGATCAAGTAGCTCCTCAAATGTTCATACCATGCCTTCGCCCCAATCCTCTGACCCGGCAAATTGCGTAGCACCTTGTACTCCCCAACTGCCGTGGTGATGCGCAGTGGTTTCTCCTGAGGGACTTGCAAGAAGGCATCCTTGACATCTAGAGCTCCTATCACCGGCTTTCCCTTGTAGTGCTCAAAGTCCTTCTCCATGCTGGCCGCACTCAAGAAAAGCACCGGCAAAAGGCGGAGAGCATACTGTCCACTTGCAGGGCTGTACACATCATCTCTCTTGTCATGCGCATAATCTCTGGCTACCAATCGTGCTCTTCTCAACCACCCCTTGCGCTGAGTGCCACTCTTCTCAACATAGGTTTTGATGCGCCAGTCATAGACGAACCTGGTGGTGAGCACATCAAGATCAGCCTCTTGAGGCGTCAGCTTCTCGATGACATCCATCCTCATCAATCTTCTTTCCTCCACTCCTCGTGCCAAGGCATCTACTTCTTCTGCAGGTTGAGGTGGCGTATTGGTCAATGGATGATCAGACCATAGCTCTTCAGGAACCACCCCATGTTTGAGGCCTTCGACATCCTCCTGGTCCTCGTCGATCACGAGAGTCTCCACATCCACTACCTCGTCCAAATGATACATGTCCTCTCCAGCAACTCGGACATGCTCAACACGTCTTTCAATCATAGCTGATCGGGAGGCAGATGTGGAGTGGCTTTCTCGTTCAGGTTCATCTATCCTCAACCTCTTGCTGTCCGGCTCGATCTTCACTGCCGATGAAGGTGGTGGGAGCTTTCGCAAAACTCTCCCTTCAGGAGGCACCTGCTCGTTCTCCTCCCATGGGAGTGGTGGAATCACCATGGGAGTATCTCCTCCTGGGCCCCTACCCTCAGACTGCTCAACAGGAGCTGGGGGTGTCACCATTCCAGTATTGGGCTCATCATGTTGCGGGGCACTTGGTGCTGGAAGACCTTCAACAGCATCTTGTATCTCTCTCTCTTGCCGGACCTCATCAATCTCCTTCTCGTGTTCAGCAACACCTTCCTTGGATTGGGCATACCTCTTCACCTCTTCAGCATCTTCATCCTTGTATTTGAAGAACACTGACTCCAAAGCGGGCATATTTCCGGTCCTCAATGGGATTCCTGTGATGGCTCTCTTCGTCGGAATGATGCGTCCACCAAAATTGGTTTGATATTCCCAGCTGGCCGTCTCAAAGTTCTGGTAATAGCTGAGGAATCCTGTCCAAGGCCTGTTCACCCGTCTGATTGATCTGGTCAGCATGATCTGGCTGCCATCACCAACAATCCAGGCATCCTGTCCATCAGTCTTTCCCAGGAAGATTGACATTCTCCATCTCGGATTGCCTTTGCCGCTCTGAGGGCGAACATAGGCGTACACTGGACATCCAAAGGGAACAATGGCTCCGTCATATGTTCTTCCATGGGCCAACTCATAGCTGGTGATACCTCTTGTAGCTTGGTAACGGTTCAGCAACCAGCATGCATGTCTTGAGGCCCAACTCCATAGAGCGTGGTTGGTATTGTACGCTAGGCCAGTTCTTTCTGCAACGTCTGCCATCACTGTACATGTCAGCCCTCTCACACGCTGAATGGCATTTTCTGCTAGGCTGTTTCCGGCCGAGTCACGGACCTTGGTGGTGTAGAGCCTGGTTCTCAGCCCCATTGCACGCCGACTGTTCAGCACTATGCGAAGGAGGGATCGCATAGTTGGCTCGTTGTCTGCGTACAAACCAACCTCGACATGGCCCAAGCTCTGAATGAAGGTCATGATCTCCCTGGCCATCAAACTCAATTGTCCCTTCGACTTCAACGGGACTGACCCCAAAGCTCCAGTTTGGCTATCCACCATGATTAACCACAACGCGGGCTTGAGCTCCTTGATACGAAGTTCCTCAGCCTCCTTTCTCTCATCCTCCTCGTAGAGGTCAATCGTTATCTCCTCCTCCTGCTGCCCTCGGTCTCGAGGTTGTGGATTCCTGTCAATCTCTCCGGCCTTCGTGTAGCATAGGTCCAGCGAGATAATGGGGATTCCACTCAACCTCGAAGCACCAGTCCTGAGATGTCTGTCAGGTCGTCCTCGGTGCTTCAAGCATGATGCGCACCAAGGCTGGTAGGGCACATGGGTCAAACAATGTCGATCCTGCTCCTCCTGCGAGGGAACTTTGATGCCCAGCTGTTCTCGTGGTTGACGAGCCACCTGTAGTTGTGCTGCTGCAACTGCCTCGGCTGCCGCCTTAAGCTCCATTTCTTTCATATGGCTAACCAACCTCTGGTAGCACTTCAAGCGGCTGCCTGACTGGCTCACACCAAAGAAGTTGCAAGCTGCTCGAAGTTGTCGCAGTGGGCTCACTGATGTCAACTGTATCCCATTCACCAGGATATGGTCTGGCATTCCAGGCCCTAGAGCCAACTGTGCTTCTTGGACCACCGCCTCTTCCTCAATCTCCACTCTTTCATCCTGTGGTTCATCAACAGGAAGCTCACCAGCTTCCTCCATAGCCATTTCATGATCTCGAACTCGAATTGGCTGCTCTTCTAGATCCAACCCGATCTCCACTTCAAAGCCCATCTCTTCAACACTCATAGCCTCCTCCGTGAGGATGGTAACCACGAGCACATTCTCAACAGCCCCCTCAATCACCTCCTCTTGATCGAGAATTCGATGCAAATCCTCGCACATCTCCAGAAGCTGCCAATTCCCAGCTACCTTTGCCAGAGTTGTTCGCTTCCAGCTCGTCGTCGATGAGATGTCTCCCACATACTGTGGACTCTGAAAGGTCTTTCCCAGATGGACTCCAATCCACCTGTCTTCGGCCTTCCTCCATCCCACCTGATACTTGATCTTCTCCTCGAGGTCCTGCTTCAACTTGGCCTCGAGCACACGAATTGTCTGGGGCTCTGCCGAAATGGCTCGAACACTTCCCTCGGCCACCAAACTCTTGTTCTGCAACCGTAGGGGAATCCTGATCTCCTTCTTCCCCACGCCATACACTAGTGAATGGTCTGAAATTCCCCATCCACTCTCCATCAACCTCCCAAATGAGAGGATTGGCTGAGTGATGCCGCTCGAGAAGTGGGCCTTCTCGAAGACCTGTATCTCCTTCCCATTCTCTGCCTCGAAGACAAAGCACACGCTCTTGTAACCCTCGATGGCGATCTTCTCACCTTGGGCGTCCTGAAGCACAGGCCCTTCCTCCTCAATTTCAACTCCAGCTGCCAAAAATGAGGTTGGCAGCACTGTTGCATCGGCACCTGAGTCCACGATGATCG